AAGAAGTGATATAATTGATGTGGAGTTAGTTTGCATTTATTGTTTGTCAAACTAGATGGATGATGATAGTATGAATAATCATTCTATCAACTGATTTACGATGTCTTGCCCACAAGAGCTCCTTTGTCATTCATTGTTATTGATCAATTCCTTTTACTGTCAAAGGAAGACCTAAGACTGTCAGATACTTTCCCATGACATCAAAAACCAACATCTCAGACGAGTCCGAGATGTAGAACGTAGCTGCTAATATTGTAGAGCGATGTACGACCATACGAACACGCAAATGTCACGCAAGGAAATAGTCGCAATAAGTGTTTTGTGAATTGCATTATCATCCTTTAAGAAGGAAAAAAACGTATGAATAGTCTAGGTCTCAGTTGGCACAAAAAGGTCTTAGTTTTCGCGAACACCTGGCATCATCACTATTTGATACTGATTTATAAACACATGCTTGTGATATGGTCGGAATCGTACAATCCAAGAATCATCGGTGATTCAGTTAAGATGAGGTGAGGTGAAATGGGGTTTAATGTCGCGTAATAGATTTTTGCACTTATATATATGTATGCATGTGTGTGTGGGTGCTTGTTCTAATGCCGGACTAATGCCGATTTTATAGTGCAAGTCAACCGAGATAACATGCCGTATTTTGTACATGAATACCCCACTCAGACACAGTATACTGAGACCGAGCAGACCAGTCCCTGTTTTAGGTCCTTAAAGCTGAGCCCCAGGCAGGGTAACATAAAGTACCATATTTTAACGTCTTTTGGCATGGCGCGGGGATCGTAGCCGGGTCGATCTACCATTAGATCACGGAGGCAGTCTGATTCAGTTAAGAAATACCCAATGATATAAGTATAACTTAATATGATTTTGATGCACTGATTTGATGAACTTGTACCTGAAACTATTGTTTACCAAGAATATTCCAATATCGTGTTATCTTATTGGCAACTTTTAATACATATAAACTGACGGCCAAAAGAAACTTTATCACTTTAAAAATGAAATTGCCAAAAATTAAAAACACAAGTTCAAACTAAATCAATGCAAAACACATCGTCCAAACAGAACAATACTCTACGCAGAAAGTGGTACACGTCCATGGCATCTTTTTATGTAGAAAATACGAAAAAACACTAGCAGCTTGGGCAGCCGAAACTACACGTGAAATAAGGGTATTTAAATGATGCGGACGGCATGTCAGACACTCACACCGATATAGAAAAAAACCACTACAGAAATGCCACGACTGACACCCGAACAACGCGAGCGGGACCCAGGTTGGTTACAGATGGGAGCCACCCATGCCCACATTGCTACAACTTGTAGTTGCTCTCGTGTTGCTGTAACTAGCCTGATGCAACATTACTAATAGACCGGGCAGATATCAGACAGGCCAAGATAGGCAGACCCAGGGTCACTAGGCCCAATGAAGACCAGTACTTACGTACTTTGAATCTCCGGAATCGTGACAGTGACAGTTCCTGACAGTGACGACATCAGCGACGAATGCCTTAGGGCATATGGTTAGTCGACAGATAGTGGCCATGCGACTCAGGGAATTGGGGCTTACAGAGGACAGTTATTGACAGCGCAACATCATCGTCAGAGATTGAGATAGCTCTGAAAGTACGTCGTTGGCAGCGACGTGACTGGCAGAGGGTCTTCACTGATTAAAGCCAGTTCTGTCTGTTCTGAGCTGATGGATGACAGCGTCTTTACCGCGGAAGGGGAGAACGAGCGGCGGCATGTTGCGTTCAGGAGGTCGTGCCGTGTGGTGGAGGGGGTGTTTTGGTGTGGGGAGGAATTTGTGGGCAGTAGAGAACATCACTAGTCTTCGTTACGTATATTTGACAGCTAAGCGTTACATGGATGACATATACATATATCATATTTGTCATACTTAGACTCGTGGAAAGTCTTATTTGTTGCAGTTCGACTATTATAAGTCAACATGTAGTTTTGGCGATCAAAATGGCAAGCCGCCGAAATTCGCTGTGCAGAGTTACGTCCCCAGGGCGCGCTAGAAACCTATGATTGTGGTTTCGAATCCCGGTTCGTCGAAGTGGTAAACGTCAGAGACCTACATTCGGCTTTTCATCCCCAATAGGCTGGCGTTATATAACTGGAATACTGTTCAAAAGCGGCGTTGAGCCAAGCTCACCTACTCACTCTTCCCTCAGATTTAGATTTAATCTGTATCTGATGCAAACAGTAACTTCAGACAAAAAAATCTCCCCAGCGTGTGTAACCACCTAGGTTTGATTGAAAACACTTCAGCGTTAGTCGGTAATCAAGTGTGAACCTTTCATTTGGCTGCCACGTACATAACAAGAACACTTCATTTCCACCCTTAATGACTTCCAAGCCAGAAAGAGAAAAGTGAAAATGCAAAGCATATGTAGCCGCGGTGTAACATTGATTTTGAATCAAGGCTCTAATTAGCCTACCCCCAGCAGCAACGTGTATATTTTGCTTCTGATATCTTGCCGCACTATGTGTGAAGTAATAATAGATTTACAAGCAGAGAAGGTGCCGCTTGTTGTGTTTACAGGTCTATCCTAGTAAAAAATGCGTCAGATAATACCAATTTGTTATTTCATACCTGCCTAAAAACTATCGGACTTGCTCACCTGGGGAGCCTCCACTGTTTACGTGTAAGGTATATCAAAATCAGACGTTTGACGTCATCATGTAAATATATGCTGGTGAGGTAGACTCGTTAAAATCACGACGCGTACAGCATAGTTTGTCATGCCCTTCAATCAGAGAGTGTGATAAGAACAAACAACGATGCGTTTTTGTTATGGATCGAGCTGCTGTGTTATTGCTTAGTACCGTTCTCTCATTGTTATCTTGCAACCGATATGGTTCTCAACAAAACGGGACCTTGTAGCATATGCTTGTCGCAATAACTGACTAAAATGGAGATTGAGCGTTCTGGCTAATTCCGTACTATTCTACCCCGATGACATGGATTGGTGCTCGCACTTTCAATCACTGGTTTGCTTGGCTAATATTCAGTTATTTACAAACTGTCGCGATATAGTTCAATATTGCTGACTGAGCTTCAAGCAGCATTCATCAACTCACGTGTTCAAAGAGCGTCAGCGGTAGAGCATATGCGCCATCATTGATCCATGAATATGCATGTGAAACACCTTGCGGTGTTGCGCAGTATGATTTATGATGATCACTGCCAGACCGTTCATGGTGCCTTATAGCTCCGAGAGGAGTAGATACCACCTCCATCCATCGGGCTGACACATGATGTATGCTGTATGTTTGTTTGCTTGTGTGTAGCATTGTTTTACGTGGGCGTTCCGTACCATTATCGGTACCGTCGCGAGCGTGGCGTGGGACTGACGTTTGCAATGACATCAATGGCTTCGTTAGAAAGTATTCCTGTTTGTCAGTCGCAGTAAAGATAACGATTACTCAGGATGACTTCATGAGTGATATACATGTACAACATTCACATTATTGATAAAATCACTATCCGTTCAAATCAATAATGATGCTCGGGATCACATTGGTAACACACAGCATTCACATTATTAATAAAATGTCACTACCCTTACAACGAGGATATATTTAAATCAATAATGATCCTCAAGCTTAAATAGGCTTTTGTAGGCTCAGTAGAGATCTCTTATGATTATGGAAATGTTTTTTGACGCTTCTATTTACATTGTATCCTTTTGCGGTTTTGAACAGGCCTTTGGCGTGTTGCATGAGCGAACACGTCAACCACTAGGCTACCCCACTGCCTCTGCAATAATGTGAACCAAGCCATTGATCCAAATGTTGCAGCTGTCGGAGAACTCTTATTACCTGATGTCTTGTTTTATCTGGATAAAAACAAATTCAACTTATAAATGGGAAATCCGTACCGGAGGCTGTCGTGCTTCTTTCGAAGCGTCTTTTTACACGAAAATCTCTCGTAGTTAAGCCTGACTTGTCAATTACATTGATCATATAATTATGTGACAGGTTTTTTTTGTTCATAACACTTATGAACAGTTATCCTTCGTACATCGACCATATTTAAAAATAATGAAGACACTGATTGCATTATCAGTGTGATATTTATAAGAAGTGTGATATAAAGTTCATCCGCATGCTTGCAATAAACGGGAACAAAAAGTGATTATCGAATCTGTCTGAGATGTTGACAGTTCAGTGTTTCTTGCTGTCAATCACAACAATCGTGTTACGGATAGTTTCAAAATGAATAAGTTCTAACTGTGGCATATATTCTGAAAACAAACTCGTTTATGATGGTAGGGCTTCAGTTTACGTATACAGATAAAGTGGGTTGGACTGACGATCTCATTTGATCATGGAGTACCTTGACAGCATTAATTCTTCAGGATCATCCACAATCCTCTTGGACCATTAGTTTTGTTATTGTTACAGTGCATGTGCACAACATTATCGACAAACCCAAGCTTAAGTTTGTTGACCGCGGTGAGGTAGCCTAGTGGTTAAAGTGTTGACTCGTTACGCCGAAACCTTGGAATCGATTTCCCACATGAGTAAAACGTGTGAAACCCATTTCTCGTGTTATATAACAAGAATATTACTGTGAATGGCGTAAAACCCTACCCAGTCACGAAACCCATTAAACCAGCATCACCAAAATGTGACTTAGGTTACAAGCTAGTTTAAGCGTATGATGCATTTACATATTGTCACCATATGAAGCCAAGGTAGTTTAAGAGTAGTATCCAAGTGTGATATATAGACGTGGTGTTGTCTACATCCGATCGTCAAAGTTCATTAACACTGGCCTTTCTCATTTATCATAAGTCTGCCATAGCTTAGATCTTTCAATAGCTCCAGGCTAATAGCATCCTTATATCCAATATCAGAGAAGCCGATGGGTACAGCATCTCCGCACACCAAGCGATGCATTTAGAGACTAATTAAGATGTTAATGCGGAGACGCCTGGTATTATGAGTTTTCAGCTCATTTCTTGACACGGGATACCATGTGTTAAAATCCACTAAGATAAAAACGCTAATCCCTCTGTTGCCTTGAGCAAACACCACAGGACATATATCTACAAGTTCCGTCGATCGCCTTCTGGACCAATGACTGGCTTCATGTCTGGGATGCTTGTCTACATGTTCTAATACCGGGCGATAAACTTCCAACGTGTAGACTCCCTCATCGTACTCTGTGATAGAAAAGCCCCGCACTTGCAGGTGATCTAGGCATCTTCAGATTCGCTGCTCGACAGTCAACGGGGCTGTCATGTACAATAGCCCCAGAGAGGAAAGGCGTGGTTTGGGTACAAAAGACGCCGATAAAAAAGTTTACAAAGTGTGTTCAGCGGGAATGCTCGTGGGAGGACTTGTGATCAATATTTTCTGTACAGTGATCACACACAGTTGGTAGCCGCTGGCTCGTCAGTCTCGACTTGTTAGTCCTGCATAGTCTAACGAAGTGAATGAAAGTGTGACCGGCGCCTGGACTGTATTAATATTGGGTTGAGACCAGTTTTACATCATGGTCAACGCCAGTGACAGCATCACGGAGCCTCCATATTACGACTTCGACCTGTCACAGCAGCTCTACCCCGTGGAAAGGCGTTATGTCCCGCCCTGGGAGATAGGGCTAAAATGTGTGTTTTATACAATCATAATTGCGTTTTCACTCCTAGGCAACTTTTTGATTGTCGTGATTGTGTATCGTCACAAACGCATGAGGACTACGACGAACTTCTACATTGTCAACTTGGCAATTGCTGACCTGATGGTGACGGTGTCGTGCACGTGGGTCTCTCTCGTCGATGACGTTACCGAGGGATGGGTACTCGGGGAGTACTTCTGTAAATTCAACACTTTTGCTCATGGTAAGAAACAATCCTACTTTTACATGGAACGAATCAAAACTGTATCGATGCATTCTGATTTATCTCCATTGTGTATGGCATTGTCGTTTGTTCATGCATGTAGTGTTTTCCAAGATACTCACATTCGGAAACATGTACGAATTAGCAATAATTTTATTCTAAGAAAGACATAATATCAGCCTGACGTATGTTCTGTAATGTTTAAAATATCTATATTTGGTCCTCTACACAGCGCACAGGTTATACATCAGTTGTGGAGAGTGCATGCACGTGGGTGACCAACCATAAGCAATACAGCTTGGCTTTTGCGAATTTTGGTCCTTCCTCAAAATAAAACACAGGTTACATGTGTGTTTCAAGGCAAGCGACTTCGTAATATGCCTCTGTGCATCCAGCAGTAAATGGATACCCGGTAGGATGAGATGGTATTGCGAGTAGCAGTTGAGAATAAACGTACAACTGTACACCGATCCTTTGTTGGGTAATAAAACAATTTAGCGCCACGAACATTCGATTGGTAAATGTAAAAGCGCGCTAGATGGACATCTTATCAATAACATTAACACAGAAATAATGAGAATAACTCAAGTATCGATAAAACGTGTGGGGTCTGAGGTACACACAAGGCTCGTTCGTGTATTTCGTACAAGAACCACTCTCCCTACCCTCTCGAAAAGGTTCTCGGTATCATCATGACAGAATTTAAGGTTGGCGTTTGATTAGTACTATACGTCAATGATTTATCAGTTACCGTGAAATTGAATGTTAATTATCAAGCTTCCCAAGTATCTTAAAAACCTGATGGCTCTGATACGCTACTTCTGCTTGAAGAGAGGTTCAAAGTGGATTAGCATATCTGATTTAATGATATGTCAAGCCCCCTTAACCTCAACACTGGCTTGAACGTACGTGTGTGTTGTTTTGAAATAATGATATTCATCTAAATATAAATACGTTGTCATACACTTTAAGACCGCCTTCGCGGTCTATTGATAGAGCGTCCGCCCGGAGAGCGGAAGGTCGGGAGGTCGATCCCCGGCCGCGTCATACTAAAAGACGTTAAAAATGGTACTTGTTGTTAACCTGACTGGCGCTTGTTATTAAATAAATCATGTCAAAGTGCGGCATGGTATCTCAGTGGACTAGCACTATAAACTCGGCAGTAGTCCGGACTTGTAACAGCAGCCACACACACACGCAATTTTCCCGAGGTAAATTTTAACATGGAAACACTAAAACTAGTAAATTCACATTTCTTTAAGCTTGTCGTTCTTTCTACTTTGAAACCGTCTCTGTGATCTAGTTGTAGAGCGTCCGCCCGGGGAGCGGAAACCGGGGGTTCAATCCCCGGCCGCATAATACCAAAAGACGTTAAAAGATGGTACTTGTTATTACCCTGCCTCGCGATCGGCATATAGACAAGGACTGGTCAGTTGGGAATCAGTATACTGATTTGGGTATTCATCTTAAACTGTGGCATGGTATCTCAGTGGGCTAACACTATAAAATCGGCGTTAGTCCGGACTAGTACAAGCAACAATAACAACAACAGCAACAACACACACACACACACACACACACACACACACACACACACACACACACACACACACACACACACACACACACGTGCACGTCGTTCAACGCGGCGGCAAACACTTTTACCTCCCCATACACTCTTATAACACGTATTCATGCATCCAGGTACACTTCAAGACAGTGACCACTGTTCCTGCCAATGCCGTTTTCCTCTCCAGCCCGCTGCCCTAATTTACAAGTAATTAGATCGTTTGTGGCAATTACCCTAAGCGGATCTGTGTGTGCTGTGTAATGACTAAACAAAACCGCATTTAGACAGGGATTTACCAATACTGAAGTGGTCAGTGGCTAGCTAGTTGGTGTTGATGTGTTTATGGACCACATGATTCGATTCAACAATATGATGAATACAAACATCGACATACTCACTGTGTGATGCTATAGTACGCTGGAAACCAGTGTATCTTCCCTATGGCAGTATTACGTTGTGTATTTTCTGTAAATCCTTCTTTTTATATCAAAAGAAAAAAGCTACACAATAGCCAAGGGAGTTAAAAAAGCTTTTCTGTCAAAACATAAAACAACAAAAACAAATTATTATGATAGTGCTCATACTAGCGCTGCCTTTGGAAAAGAGGTTGTTGGCATCAGGCTGTGAAAAGTTCCAAAATGCAAAAGTTTATATTTTCCTTTCCTGAGGCATAGATTAAAACCAAACGCGGTGACGTGCTACTGATGCACGATGGCAGGGGGCCAAAGGCTGTCTGGTACCAGCGTAAACGTTTCACTCTTGGAATGGCTAGATCCTTGTGAAAATAACGCCCTCGCATTGTGAAAAGATGTCAGAATCATGCCTGTCGAGGGTATAGCAAATTTGTGTATCAAGTAGACCTCATGACAGCGACTTCAGTGTTGAAGTGGCACCTTGATGGATGGTCAGCTGGGAAATAAATCCTGGAATGACCGTATTTATATTTAGTTACCGACTTATATTTAGTTTGTCATGATCGTATGTTGAAAACTGATGGTTTCTTTCGACCGTGGGTTATAGTTTATAGGCGCTATTATGTTTTGCAGACATACTATTTATCAAAGTAACCCCCCACCCCCTTAACTACGCGAAATTCGCGAATGAAGAATGTTATTCTTGATAATAATGATATATACATTTCAACATCAACGTAACGCGTATATCATAATCACAGCATACGTTAGCTTCAACTTCAAATACTACACGCATGTCGCTTCATTAATGACACTAGCTGTCGGGGAAATGATATCTCTGAACATATTTGTACATATTTCTGAAATTCTTTGAAATTCCCTTTTTACATTTTTAAGGATAATGGATTCTGATTTCAAAACGCCAGCATGACGAACAACTGATACCCCATAGTCAGCATATTATGTCTTATACTATTTAAAAAGTCAAGACTGATGGCTTTTAATTTCATGATAAGGCATAAATGTGACATTCACAGACACATTTTTGTGTGATGCGGTAGTGGCGGTGTTAGACAGTACTGCTTGGAGGTATAAATGTGGGGAACTTATTGTAAGATATTAAAACTGTCTTTATTTTACTCAACTTTTAACTCTATGATAATATATAAGTATAATGAACAAGAATCGATACAAGTCTTAAACTACGCATAATGAATGCATGATCGTAAATGGAAATATTCAGTGTCGGTTTACCGAAATCTGTTAGCAGAGCCAGTGGCACCCTTAATGCACAGACATTTATTCATAGACGAAAAATGGTGAGTCAGAACGCTAGATAGATGAAAATGAGTTCCCGTTTGACGTCATTAACATAATTATCTATCATCGGAGTCAACATGTTTTTTACATCTGGCCGGACTCGTCACATAGACATGCTGTCTGTATTTTCTATCATTGCATACACTTTGTTTACAGCCTGCTCGTAATTATTGGTATGTGTGACTTCATCCCGCAAACATGTGTTCAACAATAACGTCAGTTGTTATTTCCAATGACAAGTAGACTGCATAACCATATATTTATTCAAGCACATGATGTCAAGAAAGCTGTGTTTGTGGAATTATTTCACGAAAGCGTTACAACGCAGTGCGAATCAATAATTTAGAATGTACAAGGTCAATGTTTGGACCAATAGCGTAATTGTTACCTTACTTTGCAAAATGCTTTGACAGAGGTTTATTTCCATTTTGAGTGAACAGTCGAGATATTAACATGTTAAATAGAAATTTGAAATAGGTTCCCAGATTCAGAGACGTATATAGTATATGCTTTGCTGGAAAGAAAAGAGGATTATAAACCTTGAGTGAGTGAGTGAGTATTGTTTTACGCCGCTTTTAGCAATATTCCAGCAATATCACGGCGGGGGACTCCAGAAATGGGCTTCACACATTGTACCCATGTCGGGAATCGAACCCGGGTCTTCGGCGTGACGAGCGAACGCTTTAACCACTAGGCTACCCGACCGCCCTATAAACCTTGAGACTTCACTGTGACGTAATACCTCCTGTGTTTTTGTCCTCACAAGCCAGGCCTGAATATGATCCCAGCATCACATACTTGTCGAAAGAGCCCACTATCAATGGTTGATTGATAAGTTCTGAGACTCATATAGAAGGAATTTCGTTTTGGTAAACTCCACCTATAATAGTGAAATATAATAGAGTTATATCCACAAAAACTTGAGTCAGTTAAGCAAATTGTCTATCTGTGACAATTCTGTTTAATAACCTTTGGAAAATGGACAGATTTCAGCATAATTGCAGATTGTTGTTTGTACTAGGGCCAGAAGTGGTAACACAGGTTTCATCCATAGCCATAAGTCGTTGCAAGAACCTTTCTGGATCAGCTTCCAGCAGTTTCAAACCCTTGTACGAGTATAGGGTGGTTACAATGCTTGATCTAGTTGAATGTGTGTGGATCGTAGATCATGCTGCCAGCCACGGGTTTACCTGGTGCAGATACGTCTATTTCTAGTATATACAGTCCATACTGCGTGCGTCACAAAACAACATTCCCTCATTTCTGTCTTTCCAGGGCATTAAAATAAAACTCCTTCCATGGTATTCTAAAAACTAGACAATATATACAGGATCGACCCAATATGCAGCAAGTTAAGGGTTTATTTTTTTTCGCAAATGAATTTTGGACGAATCAAACCGAGACATCGGGAATAATAAATAATGATTCCACAAAGACATCACTTGCCATATCCAGTATTGATAAAGTGTGTTGATTGAACAAATTATCTTGATCATGTTTTGTCGTGTGCCAAGAATAATAAGTGGAACGCCTCTTTTGTTAAAAAACGTAATTTCTACGTTTCCTTGCTCAGCTCCTCTGCCAAGTAATCGAAGAATTTTAGGAGAACGAGATGTAAGAAGTAAGTTGATAGAAATGCATGAATAAGAAACTCATTATTTCTTCTCAACAGGCGGCACGTGCTGATGTTTCCAATT